GCCCATGTTCTCCGAATGACTTCCATTCCCTCAGACTCTTACAATTTTTCCTTGCCCTCTTCCAAGTGATTCTTCCATCTCCAAGGGAAAGGACCCAATGGCCAATGGAAACCTCCAATTTAGACTCTGTCTGCATAATGTCTAGTTGTGGGTATTCGTTCCCATGACTAAACAAGGACTGATCTATGAAAATAATTGAATATCATTAGGAATTATGGAATTATTTGTAGGAGAGTCTTATTGGCTGACACCATCCCTGGGCAAGTCAGCCAGAGCTGTATAAGAAGGGCAGCCGAATGAGCCAGGGAGCAGCATTCTGTTACAGGTTTTGCTTCAGTTTTTGAGTTAATGCCCTGATTTCCTTCAGTGGTGGGCTGTAATCTGGAAGTATAAGTTGAAATCAAGCCTTTCCTACTCAGAAAGAAAGAGAAATAAATACTTAAATAATTAAGAGGTTTTAGAAATAATACTAGCTCAGCTCTTGCTTGATGAGTGCTTAGCATGACCCATGAGCCTGTAAGGTCTGAGACGCTTAATACAGCCCTCAGACTACTGGGAATCCAGACATGGACACCCCACCAGACGACCGGGAATCCAGACATGGACACCCCACCAGACAACTGGGAATCCAGACATGGACACCCCACCAGACAACCGGGAATCCAGACATGGACACCCCACCAGACGACCGGGAATCCAGACATGGACACGGGAATGCAGACATGGACACCCCACCAGACCCATGTGCTTCTGACACTCAGCAGAAACCTTCACATTCTTGCCACTGCAGGGTCCTTCCATTCCTGGTCCAGCTCTCGAGAACTCGGCTTCTCCCCTTAGACTAGTAGCTCTAAACCCTGGCTGCATACTGGGACCCTCTGGAAAGGCCAAGACCCCCTGACCATGAACTCCATCTTTCCCCTGCAGAGATCCAGTCTCTTTTGGTCTGAGATGCAGTTGGGTGTCCGTGATATTTTATATTTTAAAAAAACCAGTCTTTGAGTGTTACATGTTCTGCATGCATCAGTCTTCCTGGCCCAGGATCACTGTGTAGTCCAAAGCCTCTCAGGACTCTGCACTGAAAAGGTCTGGCCAGCTCCTCTAAAGCCTGTCCTGAACCACTGGTGCACTGGTGTGCCTTGCACAGACAACTACAGGAGCATGGACTATTCCCATCTGGGACCGTGGCAGGAGGGCACACAGTCACCCTGGTCTCAAAGTTGGTAGAGCTATATCCTGGGGCTCTTTATTTCATGGTTAGTTATTTTTTAAAAAGTAATATGCTCTCAGGCACATTTTGATACTTGGTCACTCTTATACATCCATCTATAACAAGAGGAACAACTGTATGTTGAAATGCTGATTTTATTCATGGGACATGCTTTTTCTTTACTGACTCTTTGATAAATTCATATTCCAAAATTAAAATCGGTTTTCTTATGAACAGTGTGGGCAGTTCAGCAGGAACTAGATGGGGGACAGGTATAGTTTTAAAACATCGCATTGTGGAGATGGATTGAAGAACAGGGTTAGTCCTGTTAGAAGAAACACTCCTTTCACACAAGAATCACAGAGTTGTGTATGCTGTGAATATCATTGGTGAATAAAGAAACCACTTTGGCCTGTTGATAGGGTAGAACTTAGGTAGGCAGGGAAAACTAAACTGAATCCTGGGAGAAAGGAGGAAGAGTCACAGACAGAAGCCATGGAGCCCCTCCAGAGACAGATGCCAGATAGAACTTTACCTGGGAACTTTACTCCGTAAGCCACAGCCACGTGGCAATACACAGATTGCTAGAAATGGATTAAATTAATATGTAAGAATTAGCCAATAAGAAGCTAGAACTAATGGGCCAAGCAGTGATTTAATTAATACAGTTTCTGTGTGATTATTTCGGGCCTAAGCAGCCAGGAACTAACTAGTGGCCTCCTTACCACAGAGTTGCTTTAAATAGAATCATTAAATAATTGCGTATAGATCATAGACCTTGAGTGAGTTCTGCTTTAAATAGAATCATTAAATAATGGCGTACAGATCATAGACCTTGAGTGAGTTCTGTAAAATTCAACATTCTAAGTTACAGGCAGAAAACTAAAATCTCAGCTACCCTGATTCAATATTAGAAGTGTATCTGAGCAGTGGTGGCACATGCCTTTAATTCCTGGAGGCAGAGGCAGGCTGATCTCTGTGAGTTCAAGGCCAGCCTGGTCTACAGAGCGAGTTTCAGGACAGCCAGGGCTGGTACACAGAGAAGCCCTGTCTTGAAAAACAAATAAACAAAAAGTGTGCTAAGTCCAGCTCAGAGAGAAAAGGTTCTACTGCAGATGAGCACACCTGTTCCTCCTAGAGTCACTGTGCAGCTCCTGGAAGCTCAGGGCTTGACAAGAGTTGGGTTACTGTTAACATGTAGTCTACTTTCTGCCACTTTGTGCCCTGTGGAAAATCACTCAACTTTTCTGAGCCTCCTTTTCTTCATTTGTAAATGAGGAACTAGGTGGCATCTATGGTACTTTTGATGCTAAGATTCTGAGTCTAGAATTTTCCACAGGGCATTTTTTTTATCTTTTTAACTATGTGTATATGTATGTATGCCTGTGTCCCCACAGGTGCATACATACTTCACTTAAAGTCCGGAAAATGGGAGTGAAAAAAAAAAAAAACCCAATTCATGGCTATATGGTAAGAGTAGATTCACGTATAACACAAATACCAAGTAGGGATGATTTTGTCACATAAATGATGTGGGAGTGATTTCTTTCTAATCTGTTGCTTTCATTGGTTAACTAATAAAGAAACTGCTTGGCCCTCTGATAGGGTAGAATTTAGATAGGCAGAGTAAACAAAACAGAATGCTGGGAGAAAGAAGCTGAGTCAGTGAGTCGCCATGAATCTCCCACTCCAGACAGACGCAGGTTAAGATCTTCCCTGGTAAGCCACCTCGTGGGCTACACAGATTATTAGAAATGGGTTAGATCAATATGTAAGAGCTAGCCAATAAGAGGCTAGAACTAATATGCCAGGCAGTGTTTAAAAGAATACAGTTTCTGTGTAATTATTTCGGGTAAAGCTAGCCGGGTGGCAGGAAGCGGGCCCACCGCCCTTATTACAACACATAAATTCTCCTAACAAACTCTGTAGTTATCACAAATGAACGTGGTAAGCGTTCTTTTTTGATGCCGTTGGGTTTTTCACTCCAAGTGCATTTAAAACATTATCAGAGCTGTCAATCTTTCCATTCCATTTCCTCATGTACAAAGAAATATAAAATGGCCTCCCTCAGGCTTCAGTGGGCGCACATTAATTATCCAGGAACCCTTAGCCAGTATAAATTCTGTGAGGGTGGCATTTGTCTTTGAAGTATTTTATACTCATGTTTCTCAAAAAGATGATAGTAGTTAAAAAGCAGTGACTTGGGGATGAACTTAATTAGGTGGATGATAAAAACTGTAATTTCCTACAGTTGCTCACTAATGCTTGAATGGGAGGTGTGTTATAAGCTTCCTAGTGTGGTTGTGGCTTATCAGAATATTAAAATCAGGTAGTGTGGGTAACTAGTTCCAGGGTTTGTATCATTGCTTCACTATGTTTTATTATTGTATTATTGCTAATGAGTCGTTATATAGTTGAATGTCAACTTGTCTGACCTCACAGTGTGTACTCTGTATTCTTTAGAGGTCTGTTCCCTCTTCCTAGGTCCCAAATGAAGCATCCATTACCTGCCATAAGCAATGCCCCATTGATAAATTTCACATGGAGACCATAATAAGCTTAACATAATTTAAGATTTTAAGTGTATTACTGAAGCACGGCTGGGACTAAATGGATACATAATATTTAATAAGTCAGGTTTTATATTGCATTGTCTAGACAGAGGTGGCATTTTTTTTATTGTTTTTATTGAGCTATACATTTTTCTCTGCTCCCCTCCCCTTCTACCCTCTCCCATGGTCCTCATGCTCCCAATTTACTCAGGAGATCTTGTCTTTTTCTACTTCCCATGTAGATTAGATCCATGTATGTCTCTCTTAGGGTCTTCGTTGTTGTCTGAGTTCTCTGGAATTGTAGGCTGGTTTTCTTTGCTTTTTGTCTAAAAACTACTTATAAGTGAGTACATACGATAATTGTCTTTCTGGGTCTGGCTTACCTCACTCAATATGATGTTTTCTAGATTCATCCATTTGCCTGCAAATTTCAAAATATCGTTATTTTTTTCTCCATGGTGTACACAAAAGTGGCATTTGGAAACCTCTCTTCTTCATTGGGCAAACAGCACCCAAAGTGGAGGAAACAGTTCCCTGAAGAGAAACTAGCCATGGTTTAGCTCCTCGCCCAGCTCTGCCAGGGTCTCACTGTGTAGCTCAGGCTGGCCCAGAACTCACCAAAGATCCAGCAAATATGCCTTCTACATGCTAGGATTAAAGATATACACCACCATGCCCAGCATGCCCTAGAATTTAACCTTTTTATAGCATTATTTAAAAAATCTTTTTTGCTTGCTTGTTTTTTAATAAAGAATTATTTTTCCTTTTAAGAAACATACATTATTTTTTCTATAGAATGTAATTCTCTGCATTTTTTTATCACACCTGTATATGTTTGCATCTGTTTTAATTGCAGGCATTTGTACCAGGCTAGTCCCATTCATATCAAGTTTGCCTTGCACGTTCAAAGTCTTTATCTTTTTTTTTTGGGGGGGGGTTCATTGAGACAGGATTTCTCTGTTGCTTTGGAGCCTGTCCTGGAACTAGCTCTTATAGACCCGGCTGGCCTTGAACTCACAGAGATCTGCCTGCCTCTGCCTCCCAAGTGCTGGGATTAAATGCGTGCGCCAGCACCACCAGCCCCAGAGCAAGGTTATTTTTTATATTTGCGACTTCTTGCTTGTGTTTTTTAACTAAGTATGTCTACGCTCTACAAATTATGCCGCTCATATTTTAACAATAACGCCCTCTTATTATGCCGCTCATATTTTAACAATAATGCCCTCTTATTATGCCAGACACCACGGACCTACTGCTGTGCGAACACTGAGGACTTGGAGACAGTCATCCACCATGTCCACAGCCTGTACCCTTTGGCCCCATTTCTGGCAGCAGGCGTGTCAATGGGAGGGTAAGGACTCTCTAAACTGCTGGAGAGTGGAGCAGTCCTCACGACTGGCTCCCCCTCTCCCCCTCTCCCCCTCTCCCCCTCTCCCCCTCTCCCCTCTCCCCCTCTCCCCCTCTCCCCCTCTCCCCCTCTCCCCTCTCCCCTCTCCCCTCTCCCCCTCTCCCCCTCTCCCCCTCTCCCCCTCTCCCCCTCTCCTCCTCTCCTAAAAGCAAAGGGAGCAGTCCTCACAGCTCTCTCAACACTGAACCATGAATGGCTGAGTCATGTGTAGCAGAAGGAATCAACTCAGGCCGACTTTAACATTTTCCTGGGTTCTGTAAGTCCTCCATGGGAAGCAGCCAGGTGAACTTGATTTTGTTAGTTCCCATTCCAGATGCTATTAAGCTAAGATGGTTGGTTTATGCACCTGCCCCTACATTGAGGTTTATATGGGGCTTTTTGAAGTTTTATTTATGTGTATGTATGTTTGTCTGTGCATGTATATGCTGTGCTGGGGGTGGGTGCCTGAGAAGATCAGTAGATGGCATTGGATCCCTTGGAGCAGGTTGTCATTTGAAAAAAGCAGCACGTGAGAGAAAGATGCCACGCGACAGAGCTCAGGTCTCAAGGTTTTTTACTGGGAGAAAGTGAATGGGAAGGGGGGAGGGGAAGGGAAGACCAGCCTCTGGGGATGGTAACTGAAGAAGAAGAGAGGAAGACAGAGAGAGATAGGAGGTGGGCAGGGCCCTTTTAAAGGGGAACCTAGTGATTGTGCACGCGTGGAGCTCTCAGTGGCAGCAACTGGGGACGAATCCTGTCGGAACCCCAAGGTCAGGCCAGTGCGGATGTCTGAATACTAAGGGAGCTGGGATTACAAGTGTTTGTGGGCAGCCTGCTGTGAGTGCTGGGAACTGAGCTCTGGTCAGGATGGAGCATCTCCAGCCCCTTTCTGGAACTCTCTCTTGCCATACTTATACTTGAGTGATGTCTAACACTAATAACTGTTTGTAGAGTGTGTGTGGGTGTGAGTGTGTGTATATATAGAGAGAGAGAACTCACTTAAAGAAATCTAAAAGTTATTATTTAGTATTTATTTCCCTGTACTTTAGATCCCCTCACCATTGTTCATGCATACTTCTATTTTGTTTTTCATGACAGGGTTTCTCCGTGTAACAGTTCTGGCTGTCCTGGAACTTGTTCTGTAGACCAGGCTGCTCCTGAACTCACTGAGATCCTCCTGCCTTTGCCTCCCAAGTGCTGGATTAAAAGAGTATGCCACCACCGCTGGGCATTAATCTTTTTTAATTATTATTATGTATGCGGTAGTTTGCCTGCATTTGTGCCTGCAGGTCAGTAGAGGGCGCCAGATCCTATTGTAGATGGTTGCAAGCCGCCATGTGGTTGATGGGAACTGAAATCATAACCTCTGGAAGAGTAGTCAGTGCACGGACTGCTGAGCCATCTCTCCAGCCCCTCATGCTTACTTTTTTTCAAATTTATTTATTTTTCACATACCAATCCATAATTTATTTATTTATTATGTATACAATGTTCCTCCTGCATGAACACCTCCATGCTAGAAGGGGGCACCAGATCTTAATACAGATGGTTGTGAGCTACCACACAGTTGCTGGGAATTAAACTCATGACCTCTGGAAGAGCAGCCAGTGCTCTTAGCCTCTGAACCATTTCTCCAGCCACCAAGCTTACTTTTTAATTTAATTATTTAATTTATTTTTTACAGTGCTGGGGCTTGAATTTAGGATTAATGCGTGTTAGGCAAACACTTTACCTCTACCCCAAACTATTTTATTTCATTTTTCTTAAGTTTTATCTACTGAAAGATTCTCTTTTGCAAATCTTGGTTTTTCTTATCCGCAAAATAAATTTTCAAAAAAATAGAAATCTGTATGTTGTTGAATTTTCCTTTACTCTTGCCATACATTGGAATACCAATTTTTTTTTACTTTCTTTGGCTTTTGGGGGGCCTCCACCCAGCTCTCTATGAATCACACATGGAGGCTTATTCTCTCTTAAGCCAGGCCTCAGCTTACTTTCCCTTTTACTAGCCAGCTGATGACTGTCCCCTAAAGTCCTCTCTCCTTGTTCTCTCGCTCCTTCCTTCTATTCATCCTCTCTGCCTGCCAGCCCAGCCTGTCCTTGCTCCTGCCTTGCTCTTGGCCATTCAGTTCTTTATTAGACCATCAGGTGTTTTACACAGGCAAAGAATCACAGCTCCACAATTAAACAAATGCAGCATAAACAAAGTAACACACCTTAAAATAATGTTCTGCAACATATATATAAAACTGTAGACATGTTTCCCACCAAACCCTACAAGATAAATGCTATTTATCTCCTTTTCATTAGAATATTTTACCATACATATATTTTATTCCACATGATTGGTACTCAGTCAGACACACTAAATGACCATTCACCTTTATTTGAAAAGCTGATTATGAGAGACTAGAGAGATGTATCAGCAATTAAGAATACTTGCTGTTCTTAGTTAAGAACCCAGGTTCGGTTCCCAGCACCCACGTGGCAGTTCTTAATGAAGAACCCAGGTTCGGCCGGGTTCGGTGGTGGCACACGCCTTTAATCCTAGCACTTGAGAGGTGCAGGCGGATCTCTGGGAGTTCAAGGCCAGCCTGGTCTACAAGAGCTAGTTCCAGGACAGGCTCCAAAACTACAGAGAAACCTTGTCTCAAAAAAAAAACCAAACAAAACAAAAAAAAAATTTTAATTAAAAATAAATTTTAAAAAACCCAGGTTCAGCCGGGCGGTGGTGGCGCACGCCTTTAATCCCAGCACTTGGGAGGCAGAGGCAGGCGGATCTCTGTGAGTTCGAGACCAGCCTGGTCTACAAGAGCTAGTTCCAGGACAGGCTTCAAAACCACAGAGAAACCCTGTCTCAAAAAAAACAAAAAAAAAAAAAAAAAACCCAGGTTCAGTTTCCAACACCCACATGGCAACTAATCTGTAACTCCAGTTCCAGGGGACCCTAAGTGAGTTCTTGTGCCTCCATGGGCACTGCATGTACAAGGTTCACAGACATATATGCAAGCAAACAATACAGAAAATAGAAGTAAATTGTTCTTTTTTTTTAACCTTTAAAAGCCAGTTAACATTTAAAATAGAAACTATTTTTAAACTTTATTCTGGCTGTATCTGCCGTCTCTGTTTTTAGAATATCTCCAGAGTGTATGTGCGGGAAAGTAAAAGACCATGAACAGGAGGCTCTGCCCAGAGCCCTGAGTCAGCGTGGAAACGAGCAGAGTCAGGTTGTGCTTGGCAGACAGATTCTAGCATCTCTTCCCTCCAGCCCACAGTGTGAATCTGAAAAGACAGAATGAGGGCTGAACTTTTCCCCCTTAATCATATAAATTCACGCCTTTTTTTTTCAAGGCTAGCCTTTAAATAAAGAGGTTCCAGTTGTCTATTCAGAAACTCTTGGGAAAGGTCCTTTCATCCAGTGTTGAAGCGTTGGTGCCCGAAGGCCACTCTCACCAATTAGATTAGCTTTTCCAGCTGGCTGAATATTAATGTCTTGTAAATTATTTGAAGGAATCACACCTTCTAGTTGCCTAGCACTGTGACACATTGACACGTTCCCAAGTGAGTGCACTTTCTTTTCTTTTTTTTCTTTTTTACCTTTGAGATGCAGCTGACAAAAGCATAGTCTAAGCAAGAGTTTCATGCCCAGTGAAGCCACAGACTGGGGTCATCCCAGTGCCTGCGATGTTGGGGCCAAGTATGGGCTTTGAGCCAGAACTGAGTTAAGTCAAGAAACTCTGAAGCTCTAGACCCAGATTCTACTCTCCCAGTGAGTTGGTAAATACTTTTTAAATAAGTGGAAAATTCCAAACACATAAAATGAAAATTAAGAGTCATTCCTCAGGTTCAGTAATTATCAGCTCGTGGGTAATCTTGTTCCATCAGTATCGCCCACTTCTCCAGTTCATTCCCAGCTCTGACTATTAACTGAACCTCATAATCACTTTATTATTGTTTCAGGTGGTACTGAGTAGAGCACATGCTTAAAATGTGGAAGGCCCTGGCTGCAGTTCCTAGCTCCTCAAAATAATAAATTAATCGGTTGAGTCACTTCTTGGCCTTTTTGTGTGGTCTTTTCAGTGTGTGATAAAGCCCCTGTCTCGGGCACTAGGTGAAGTGGATTGGAGCAGGGAGATGGGACAGGATCTTACTTTATCTACACAGCATGCCTTGGAGTGGAGCACACAGCAAAAAGTTGGAAGGCCAGTAAATTAATATTTCAGTTGGTAGTTCTAAATGGAAGACCTGTTTCTTTTTTTTTTTTAAGTCCTAATACTCCTCTCCCCCACCCCTTCCGAGACAGGGTTTCTCTGTGTAACAGTCTAGCTGTCCCAGGCTGGCCTCGAACCCACAGAGACCTGCCTTCTAAAGTAAATCATCTAAAATAACCTTTTGAGGTAGCATCTTGACATTATTTTACTCCTGAATTGCCTCTAAAGATTTGGTTTGCCTATTTCGGGGTCTTTCTGCTTTAGATCCTTTCCTGCTATTGTGGTTTATGTAATTTACCGGCCTCTGGCCATTATCTGACCTCTAGCTGAAACGTAAAGTTATTATATAAGAACCGAAGGATGAACTCTTCACAGGACAGAAAGCATTGTATGCAAATCTTATAGTTATTTCAAAGGGTCATTTTCAATTCCTAAGTGATGGTGTACATCCATAAGTCTAGCTTTCCTGGAGGGTGAGGCAGGAGAATTACAAGTTCTAAACCAGCCTGAGTTAAAAATAGAGAAGTGCTGTCTCAAAAAAAAATTTCTTTTCCGAACTGACAAAACAGCTCAGGCAAGGTCACCTGCTGCCATGCAGGACAACCTGAGTTTTATCCTGGGATCTATGCAGAAGGAGAGAACTGACTTCCTCAAATTGTTCTCTGACCTCCACAAACTTGCTATAGAATGTACATACATGTACACATACATACACACACAATAAATAATTTTAAAATTTTTTGAAAAAAATATTTTCAAAAGCTAAATTTCATTTTTCATAAAAATTTCCTGCCCTAAAGCCATTAGTGATGGCCCGTGCCTTTATTTTATTCCATGATATTTATTGAGCTCTACATTTTTCTCTGCTCCCGTCCCTGCCTCTCCCCTTCCCCCTTAAACCCTTCCCCAAGGTCCCCATGCTTCCAATTTACTCAGGAGATCTTGTCTTTTTCTACTTTCTACTTCCCATGTAGATTAGATCTATGTAAGTCTCCATTAGTGTCTGCATTGTTGTCTAAGTTCTCTGAGATTGTGGTTTGTAGGCTGGCTTTCTTTGCTTTATGTTTGAAAACCTATGAGTGAGTACATGTGATAATTGTCTTTCTGTGTCTGGGTTACCTCACTCAAAATAATGTTTTCTAGTTCTATCCATTTTCCTACAAAATTCAAGCTGTTGTTATTTTTTTTCTGCTGTGTAGTACTCCATTGTGTAAATGTACCACATTTTTTTGTCCATTCTTTGATTTAGGGGCATTTGGGTTGTTTCCAGGTTCTGGCTATGACAAACAAAACTGCTATGAGCATAGTTGAGCACATGTCCTCGTGGCATGATTGAGCATCCTTTGGATATATACCAAAAAGTGGTATTTTGGGGTCTTGAGAAAGGTTGTTTCCTAATTTTCTGAGAAATCACCACACTGACATCCGAAGGGGCTGTACCAGCTTGCATTCCCACCAGCAATGCGGAAGTGTTCCCTTTTTCCCACATCCTCTCCAGCATAAGTTGTCATTAGTGTTTTTGATCTTGGCCATTCTTACAGGTGTAAGATGGAATCTCAGAGTTGTTTTGATTTGCATTTCTCTGATGACTAAGGATGTTGAACATTTCCTTAAGTGTCTTTCAGCCATTTTAGATTCCTCTGTTGAGAGTTCTCTGTTTAGTTCTATACTCCATTTTTTTTATTGGATTATGTGATCTTTTGGTGTCCAATTTCTTGAGTTCTTTGTATATTTTGGAGATCAGACCTCTGTCTGATGTGGGGTTAGTGAAGATCTTTTCCCATTCTGTAGGCTGTCGTTTTGTCTTGTTGACTGTGTCCTTTGCTTTAAGAAGCTTTTCAGTTTCAGGAGGTCCCATTTATTAATTGTTTCTCTCAGTGTCTGTGCTGCTGGGGTTCTATTTAGGAAGTGGTTCCCTGTGTCAATGCGTTCAAGTGTACTTCCCACTTTCTCTTCTGTAAGGTTCAGTGTGGCTGGCTTAATGTTGAGGTCTTTGATCCATTTGGTTTGAGTTTTGTGCATGGTGATAGATATGGGTCTATTTTCATTTTTCTACATGTTGATATCCAGTTATGCCAGCATCACTTGTTAAATATGCTTTCTTTTTTCCATTTGATATTTTTTGCTTCTTTATCAAAAATCAGGTGTTTGAAGATGTGTGGATTGACATCCGGGTCTTCTATTCGGTTCCATTGGTCCTCCTGTCTGTTCTTATGCCAATACCAGGCTGTCTTCAGTACTGTATCTCTGTAGTAGAGTTTGAAGTCAGGGATTGTGATGCCTCCAGAAGTTCTTTTATTGCTCAGGATTGTTTTGGTTATCTTGGGTTTTTTGCTTTTCCAAATGAAGTTGAGTACTGTTCTTTTGAGGTCTTTGAAGAATTTTGCTGGAATTTTGATGGGCAGGTCCGTGCCCTTAATCCCAGCACTTTGAAGGCAAGGGCAGTTATATCTCTGAGAGTTCAAGGCCAGCCTGGTCTACCGAAAAAGTTTCAGGATAGCCAGGGCTACACAGAGAAACCCTTTGTCAAAAAACAAACAACAACAAAACAAATGTTTTGTAAACTTTTGAGTTGTAAAAGTAAGGAGGAATTATTCTATCCTTTTCTCCTATTTCAGAGCTAGTCTGGAAGAAACTATACTGAGAGGTAGAACTAGGGTGTCACCCTTGGTTTGAGCCATTGAACTCTAACTTAGACTCAGTTTTTGTCCCTCTTACCCAAATAGAACTTGGCAAAAATTGAGGAAATAGAATGAAGAAACAGAAGAAGAGAAAGAAGTTCAGTAACTTCCGGGTCCAAATGCCCTGCTCATAAAATCTAATAGTGGACTGTAGAGTGCTTTGGGGACAGGTGTGAAGGGTGACCAACCAGCCAGACCAGAGAACTCAGGAGCTCAGGGTATGAGGGCCAGACAGTAGTAGTAAGGACTTCCCAAAGCCCCTGGTGATCCAGTGCGCAGCTGCGCGTAAGAGCCGCTCAGGGTAACTATCTTTCGTGTTCTTATGAAACATATAGTAATAAATTGTCTTACAGTTTGTGAAGTGCAATATAAGTAAGGATGTGGGTCAGGCATATGGGTACACACTTGTCCTCCAAAGACTCAAGAGGCAGATGGGAGAGTGCATGACCCTGTTTCAGGAAGGAAACAGATGCTTTTAAATAGAAATATGAACATGACAGATGAAATGTCTCAGTGGAAAAAGGTGCCTGCCACAAAGCCTGGTGACCCAGGTTCGACCCACATGGTGGACGGCGAGAACTGACGCTGACTTCCCTACACTGTGGCGTGTGCACATGCGCAAATACATGTAAAGAGTTCTGGATATGAATATGAGGAAAGAACAAAGACAGCCTTTCCAGTGTGCAGGACTTAAACAGTAGTCATGGGTGATGGTGCTGCCCAGCTCTTGGGAGGCTAAGGTAGAAGGGTCGAGTATTCAGGCTTATTCACAGAGTAGAATGGACAAGGTCAACTGAGCTTCTAGAGGCCTTATCTCAAAAAAAAAGGAAAGAAAAAGAAAGACTAAGCAATGCATCCTTGCTGCTTCTGCCTCTCCTTGTGAAGCACCCTTAGAAAGGGACTCTTGAGAGACGAACCAGTCACAGTCTTCTTGTTTCTCACCATTTTAGAATGCTGCTTCTAAATTACCTGGGCAAAATTGGGTCCAAAACTCCTCTGATGGCAGCTGCAACATTCTCAGTTGGCTGGAATACTTTCGCTTGCTCAGAGTCGTTGGAGAAGCCGCTAAACTGGCTGCTGTTTAATTACTACTTGACAACTTGCCTCCAGTCTTCAGTTAAGAAGTAAGTCATATTTAAACTTTTTGTTGCCAAACATTTTAGATTACACAATCCAGCAGTATGAAATTTTAGAGTTTAACATTACCAGTATATGTATATTTATTTATAAACATATTTATTACAGTACTAAAATATTCTTTATATTATGGATGCATACCAAAAATCATAAGGTAAAAATATAGATAAAATGAAGGTGGGCGGTGGTGGTGCACACCTTTAACCCCAGCACTCCCAAGTGGGATTCAGAGACAGGCATGTCTCTGTGAGTTTGAGGCTTGTCTGTTCTGCAAAGTAAGTTCCAGGACAGCCAGGACTGTTAGACAGAGAAACTCAGGTTATCGGGTTTGGTAGCAGGCACCTTTACCCACTGAGCCATCTTAGACCCTATCTTGAAAAACCAAAAGAAAAAGGCATAATGTATTCTTTCTGTGTTTGTGCCCCTCTGTTTGTTTTGCTATTCTAAATTATTCTGAAAACTACATTAGTGTGGAGTGTATTTGGTGATGTTTGGGCTGTTTCCTTAGATTTTCTGGTTGTCAGTCTTTTTCAAACCTAATTCTTTCTCAAGGTAGTATGTTAAGAATGTCCTGTGTGGTGGTAAACCCCTTTGATCCCAGTACCCAAGAGGCAGAGGCAGGCAGATCTCTGTGAGTTCAAGGCCAGCCTGGTCTAAATTGTAAGCTCCAGGACAACTTGGGCTACATAGAGACCTTGTCGCAGAAAAACAGACAAACACAAGAGTGTCCCATGTTGAATAATCCAGCTCTTTAAGCATGTTCTTACAAGCATAGTGTGTTTTAGAAATGGGAGCATGTGAGCTGGCAAGATGTGGTAGTGTCAGTCTGTATGTGGTAGTGTCTGTCAGTCTGTATGTGGTAGTGTCTGTCAGTCTGTATGTGGTAGTGTGAGCCTGTATGTGGTAGTGTGAGTCTGTATGTATGTGGTGGTGTCTGTCTGTATGTGGTAGTGTCTGTCAGTCTGTATGTGGTAGTGTCTGTCTGTCTGTATGTGGTAGTGTCTGTCAGTCTGTATGTGGTAGTGTCTGTCAGTCTGTATGTGGTAGTGTCTGTCAGTCTGTATGTGGTAGTGTCTGTCTGTAGCCCCAGCCCTTGTGAGAGGATGGGAGGCAGAGGTGGGGCTAGCCTGGTAAAAGCGGCAACCCATACCAAAGCTGTCTTCTAACCTCGACATGTGCACACGTGTGTATGTACACACACACAGACTTTAAGCAAACTTAAAATTATTTTCATTATACTTTTATTAACTTTGTGTGGACAGTATGCTAAGTAGGTCAAAGAACTGTCTGTGAAGAAATTCTTTCTATCATGTGGGTCCAGGCCAACAGGCTTGAGAGCATATGTCTTTACCACTGAGCCCAGCAAATACTATTTTAGTACCAGCGTTGTGCCCTGTACTAGTTAGTCTGTTTCATTACCTGTTCTTATGTATTTTAGGTATGACTGAGGTAGAGATTACCTCAATTCTTAGTTTGGAATTTCTTTTGTTCTAGGCACCAGCATATGTTTGTCAAACAAATCGACATGGACCAGGTCATGAAGGTAAGGGGTAGCTTTTCCTAATATTTTTATTTCCTCTTATGACTCCAAGGGTAGATTCAGCCTGGATTTGTTTTTTAGGCTAAGTCTATTAGAGAGTTTGATAAACGATTCACCTCAGTCATGTTTGGATACCGAACAATTGATGATTATTACACCGACGCCAGTCCAAACCGCAGACTGAAGTCCGTGGGAATCCCGGTGTTGTGCCTGAATGCCGCGGATGATGTCTTCTCACCCAGCCATGGTAAGAATCTATCTGTCTACACACTTCAGTGTGAATTAACTGTTCTTTCAAAGACATCTTTTAGTTTGATTTCTGTGTATGTCTGGGTGCGTGTATGCCCTGTGCGTGTATGTCTGTGTGCGTGTATGCCCTGTGCGTGTATGCCATGTGTGTGTATGCCCTGTGTGCGTGTATGCCCTGTGTGCTGTATGCCATGTGCGTGTATGCCCTGTGTGCGTGTATGCCCTGTGTGCTGTATGCCATGTGCGTGTATGCCCTGTGTGCGTGTATGCCGTGTGCGTGTATGCCCTGTGCGTGTATGCCCTGTGTGTGTATGCCCTGTGCGTGTATGCCTGTGTGCTTGTATGTCTGTGTGCGTGTATGCCGTGTGCGTGTATGCCGTGTGCGTGTATGTCTGTGTGCGTGTATGCCCTGTGCGTGTATGCCCTGTGCATGTATGCCCTGTGCGTGTATGCCCTGTGCGTGTATGCCGTGTGCATGTATGCCTGTGTGCGTGTATGCCCTGTGCGTGTATGCCCTGTGCGTGTATGTCTGTGTGCTGTATGCCCTGTGCGTGTATGCCCTGTGCGTGTATGCCTGTGTGCGTGTATGCCCTGTGCGTGTATGCCCTGTGCGTGTATGCCGTGTGCGTGTATGCCCTGTGCGTGTCAGTGGCCGTAGAGGTCAGAAGAGGGCAACAGATGCCTGGAACTGGAGCCACCAGACATGAGTGCTGAGAACTGAGCCCCAACTGCTGAGCCGTCTCCCCAGTTCCTAGTTTAACTTTGAAAATGTTCTTTTTAAGGAAGTACAGCAGTCATATAATGTCTTCTATTATAATTTTTACTAAAACGCTACCTGCATGGAGCTCCATGCCTATAATCCCAGCCCTTGGGACACTGGCGCGAGAAGAAGAAATGAGCTTGAGGCCTGAACCCTGATAACTTTAATAACTTCCAACCTGGGCCAGGAAGAGAAGAAGAAATGAGCTTGAGGCCTGAACCCTGATAACTTTAATAACTTCCAACCTGGGCCAGGAAGACATTATCTTGAAACATAAAAACAAGCAAATAAAAGTTAGCATTTAGAACTTAGTATCAAAGTACTTCAGACCACATGAGCAGTGTTTTCAGGGTTCCCTTCTGCTGTCAGAGACTCAGGCCCAGTGAGAGCTGATTGTGTGTTCTCGTGTTTATGGTCTTTGGTTCTTGAAGGCAGGGCCTTTGGGCAGATTATGCTCTGGCATCTTTCCCTGGGGAGAGCACCTCATTTTCCTGGAGTTCCAAAAAAAAAAAAAAAGTTGAAGTTTTTCTTCCCCTTTAACCTGAAAGAGGACTTGAAACTTTAGAAACACAATGTCCTTGAGTATTTCAATGCTGGAAGCAAATCTGAGCCAAAAATTTATTTCTAAATGAAAATAGATTATAGTTTTTTTTATTTCTCCTGGAAAGACTAAGGAAGAAAATTATTCCAAAATTAACTTCCATACTCTCTTAATTTAAGAATAGCAGTTGGGCAGGAAAGATGGGTCAGTGGTTGGAAACATGTATTGCTCTTGCCAAAGTCCCAAGTTCAGTTCCCAGCACCTACATCAGGCAACAGGAAATCACCTGTAACACCAGACCTATCACCACCTGCTGGCCTGCACAGGCACTTCACTCATATACACAACCTGACCCACACATGCGTAATTTAAAATAACAAAAATAAATTTTAAAAAGAAGTCTCCTAGGGGGCTGGAGAGATGGCTCAGTGGTTAAGAGCACTGACTGCTCTTCCGGAGGTCCTGAGTTCAATTCCCAGCAACCACATGGTGGCTCTCAACCATCTGTAACGAGATCTGGCGCCCTCTTCTGGCCTTCAGGCATGGAGGCTGAACACTGTGTACATAATAAATAAATCTTAAAACAAAAAAAAAACTATTAAAAAAAAAGAAGTCTCCTAATTTAAAAACCAGCAATAAGCATACGTATTTGTTTATCAAACATGTATGCCATCTTACTAACTTACAAAGTAGTCTTACAAACTTCAGTATCAAAAGGCTTGCCCTCCTACTGTTGTGTAAAGATTTTATTTTGTTGTTGTCTACACAGGATGTTATTCTGTAACCCAGGCTTCCCTGGAACTCGTGATCCTCCTGCCTCCACCCCCATGTTGTGGAGTGTCAAGTGTGAGCCATCATGCCTGGCTCCAAAAAATCTTTTTAAATCAATTGTAAGCTTTAATGTGTTTGGGTGTTTTGCTTTCATGTGTGTCTGCACCTGGTGCCCACAGATGCCGGAAGTGGGAATCACAGCTCCTGGAACTAGAGTTACAGATGGTTGTGAGCTGCCACGTGGGAGCTGGGACTCAAACCTGGGTCCTCTGGAAGATCTTAAGTGCCCATAACCACTGAGTCATCTCTCCAGCACCTCAAGAAAAGAATCTTTTATTTTCTCCAAATACTTAATTAAAAGCATTTATTTTGGGTTCGGCTGGAGCTCAGTGGTAGGGTGCTTGCCTGGTTCATTTGAGGCCCTGAATTCAGCCATCACTAAACAGAATTACCCAGATTCCAACCCTAACGATTGTGTTGTAAAGTTTTAGAACATCCCAACGTACACAGATGCCTTAAATCGCCCATGGCTTCTCTGGAGGTCACGTTTACCCAGAGGTCATTTCTAATAACTGGCACTTTGGGCCTTCCCTTGTAGATAAGAAAATGAAAGCTGGGCAGCAGTGGCGCACGCCTTTAGTCCCAGCACTCGGGAGGCAGAGGCAGGTGAATCTCTGTGAGTTAGAGGCCAGCCTGGTCTACACAGCGAGTTCCAGGACAGGCTCCAAAGCTACAGAGAAACCCTGTCTCGAAAATCCAAAGAAAGAAAAGAAACTGAAACTGGCTTTGGTGTCTGTTAAATTACACAGTGCTCGCTTCGCATCTTTTCACTGGGTCAGATCTGATGCTTCTCCATCCGTTTTTATCCTTTGCTGCCTGTGCTACAAACAAGAGTTTCCCAGCATTCAACCTGACCCACAAGGGTGAAGTTCCAACTCATTGTTTCCTGTTTTTTCCCAGGCCCTTAAAACAGTCTTACCACATAGTGGACAATTGTCTGCAGCCTGCGGGAACAGGCAGCCAACACCCTTCACAAGGCTGGGCTGTCTGCAGTCAGGGTTAGATTCTCTCAGAGTGCTGGGGGGAGCCCGGTGGGAGAACTTAGATTGAGTATTCACGAGGTCCCCAGTTGGCCTTTGGGGCATGTGCCCTGCACTTGTGGACGCACACACATATTTTATTTTTCCACTGTCTGAACACTACCACCTAGGAGAAAAAGAAAGCAACTTTAATTCATGACCTTGAAGTTTCTGTTTAAAGTTAACGGGACAGGGGTGCACAAACACTGCTGTTCCTGTGAGTTAACAGATTAGGGGTGCACAAACACTGCCGTTCCTGGGGAGTTGTTTTATGTCACTCTAGAGCTGTTTTCCAGCTGTTTGAGAAACAGAGAATCAGAAAGACAGGAAAAAAAAAAATATATATATATATATATATATATATATATATATATATTTGAAATCTGGGATTTCAAGTCCTTTGTACAGTTATCAATCATGAATCATGTTTAGACATCTAAATTCACATATGAGCAAAATTACACTGAATGGATTTACAACTCTCACAAAGGTTAGCTTAAGTTTTAATTTCAGAAAACAAGAATCAGCCTGTGTTTTTATTTTGTTTTATCTGGTCTTTCTAGATGTGTTTGTGCACGAGTATCCACGCACTCTCACGAGTACTACAGAGCATTAGGAAGGTCTCAGTCAGTTCCATCACTGTGCCATGTGGGTCCCAGAGACCAAACCCAGGATATCAGGCAGGGGACAAGCGCCTTGGTAGCTGAGCTGTCTCACAGCCAATAAACAGCCTGCACGTTAGGTTATGTAAAATCTTGGATTGATTCCTTTAGAAATAAGGATCTAGTAGAAATAGGTATTGTTATAGGAATATAGATGATTGTATAAATTAGTCAAACTCAGTCCATTTAGCCACACTCATCACAAATATTTGTTTAATGATTAGAATGTTTTTACTGATTAGAAATGATAAAGTGTGCTTTACCTAACAATGTTAATGCTCTCTCTCCCTCCTCTCTCCCTGTCCTTCCCGCTCCCACCTCTTTACCACCAACACCCCATCTTATGCTTTGATCCCTCAAGCTATCCCAGTAGAAACTGCTAAGCAAAACCCTAATGTCGCTTTGGTCCTTACTTCTTATGGAGGCCATATTGGTTTTCTGGAGGGAATCTGGCCTAGGCAATGCACTTACATGGATCGAGTCTTCAAGCAATTTGTGCAAGCCATGGTGGAGCATGGACATGAACTCAACAACATGTAGTTCCTTGGGCACATTAAGTCTGAGCCACTTTGTTGGATCACCTCAGCTCAATGCACATGTCAACTCTGGAGTGTGAAGCTGGCAAGCCAGCAGATGGTGAGGAGGTCCAGTGCTGTGGGAAACAAAACAACTTTGTAGCAAGAACTAAAGCTAGTGTAGATTGTTCCTGCTGTAGCTCTTATTTTTACTCTGCCTTACCAAATACGACCTTAAATTAAGTAGTCCTTATAAACATGAATTGCACTTAACCAAAACTATTGTGTAAAAGATTTTAATCCTCAGGGTTTTCGTTTAGACTAGTATTGTTAGATTACCCAGTCCAGTGACTTAATGACTGTTAAGAGATTGTGATGATTTGAATGTAAGCTCTAAGCGGGCGTTCCTGAAAGCTCAGCACTGACCAGGGACACAGCGCTGCACCGCGTGTGTTCTGACCTGAGAGGGCAAATGCAGCCCTTAGACTGCCTCCTGTACCTGCTCTTTTATCCTGATAATATTCAATTAGGGCTGACCTGTGTTTTATAATTATCATTTACATGCTTATTTTTAAAATAGTACATGTGCATACATATATCACTATATTAAAATAAATTCTATCATTTTAAGTTGTTTCTTTGTGAATTTTTATCTATAGAAGTAGAGCCCTGTTGGGTGTGGCAGCACACAGGTTTAATCTCAGCACTCAAGAGCCACAGTCAGGTGGATTACAGTGAGTTTGAGGCCAGCCTGGATTGTAGTGAGCTCCAGTCAGCCAGGGCTGCAGAGTCTCAAAGAAAGAAAAAAGGCCCAGAGTGAAATATCTGAAAAGTATGCAATTGATAATTTCATGAATATATTACCAAGAAAACTTCTTACTTCACTGTTTTCAGGATATAGACTGACGTCATATGCCACTGAAGAACACTTCAGGCTGGGGCACTTGCCTAGCATGCAGAGAGCCTCGGTTTAATCCCCAGAACTACATAAAATTGAGCACGCCGCTGAGCATGTAGCCTGTAATTGCAGCACTGTGGGGGTTGTTCAAGGGCCAAGAGTGGAGAGGGGCCACTTTGGGCTACAGGATATTTAATTGGGTGGAAAGGTATCACAAGCTCGCCCCCCACACACACACACACACTATGTGTAATAATTTTTTTTTTTGATTTTTCGAGACAGGGTTTCTCTGTAGCTTTTGGTTCCTGTGCTGGAACTAGCTCTTGTAGACCAGGCTGGCCTTGAACTCACAGAGATCCACCTGCCTCTGCCTCCCGAGTGATGGGATTAAAGGCGTGCACCACCACCGCCCGGCTATGTGTAATAATTTTTAAAATTAAGTTTAAAAATAAAAAATAATTTAAGCATCGGGTTAGTTAGCTCAGCTGAAGAGTGTCTGCCCATGTCCAAGGCCCTGACTTCAATCTTCCAGTACCACGGGAAAAAAACAACAATAATTTGGTAGTTATTGGCAAATTCCTTTTATAGAAGTTTTGCCATCTCTGTGGTCCTGTCTGCAGTACTGCCATCGTAAACTGTTTTGTTTAGTCCTGGCTGACCTAGGATTCGCTATGTAAATCAGGATAGCCTCCAACTTACAGAGATCCACTGGCCTCTTCTTTCCAAGACTGAAATTAATGGTGTGTGCCATCAAGTCTGGCTCTCAAACTGTTTGAATTTTGAGGGTTTTTTTGTTTTGTTTTTGTTTTTGATACATGTCTCTTTATGTAGCCTAAACTGATCCCAAACTCTCAGCCCTCCAGCTTCAGTTTTCTGAATATCTGGGATACAAAGTTGTAACCATGCCCAACTCCAAAACTATTTGTTAATTGTGTGATAATTTCATAAGTGAATATATTTTGATCAAATTCTTCCCCTCCAGTTCTTGCTGTAGCCACTCCAGCCTTTTTTATGTGCATTGGTGTTTGAGCTGCATGCATGTCTGTGTGAGGGTGTCATAGCTCTAGAGCTGGAGCTAGAGGAGTGTGAGCTGCCATGAGGGTGCTGAGTTAACCTGGGTCCTCTGAAAGAACCACTGAGTATCTCTCCAGCCCTCATGTGTTCTTTTCTTTTCTTTCTTTTTTTTTATGAAAGTGAACTCACTTAATGTCAGGTCTTCCACTGCGACATGAGCAGCCTAGCAGGGTCTGCCTCCAAAGAGAACGAGCCCCCCCCCCCAGTAGACATTCACTGCCAATAATGCCCCCAAGGCTCAGGAGCCATCTTGTGGGGAAGACTGAGAACCAGGGGTCGTGGAGAACTGAGGAAAACTGTGCAGCAGCTGTGCACAGTGAAGGCACTCGGCCTGACGAGGAGCATGGGAGAAATGAAGAACATATTGACAGACTGCAGTCTCTGATGGGGAAGCTGCGTGTCCCAGAAGCTCAACATTGTTATCATACAGCTGACAATGAGATGAGGGTTGTTACAGATCAACAGAGACAGGGTTTGTGCTATACGGCTGGATCAAGGAATCAGATTTAGCTCCTCTAGATAGGAGTGGTCTCTGCAGAGGTGTAACAGCGTAAACAAATGCAGACAGATTGTAAAAATATATATATATCTATAGCTTTAATGTAGAAATAGACTTACAGAACCACCGTTCCTGCGGAGACCAGGAAAGCAGAAGCAATGGCTGGGAGCACGCTTGCCAAATTTATAGGCAGACATTAGCCCAAGGCGAACACGCCCCCCAAGGGGCTGGACCTATCCCTACATCTCCCCTTTTTGTCTAAATAAGACAGAACCAAACCAAATACAACTATATACAATAACAACAAATAATAAATATAACAAACAATATTGAGAACAAAATCTTTGCTAAACATTCTATCTCAAGGAGTCCAAATAATGTAGAGAGTAACTACAATTACATAATCTTCAACTCAGTCAAAGATCCGAGAAGGGAATAAACACTACTCAACAAACGAGATATATCCAAGATGTGCAACAATTGACAGAGACAACTGACTACCTGGGCAATCACCCAAAGTCTCGTTTGCAATGTTGAGTCAACCAATTTTGGCTAAGGCCTAACATAACTGACATACCATTATTAAAGGCAAGGAACTTTTCAAAACTATCTTACCCTGTCTTGGCAGGATATGACAGTCCTGTTTTATCCATTGATGCGCGCTCTGTATCTGTGTCAGTGGTTGAGGTATGGGCATTTCTTTGCCCAAAGGCCAGTTCTGCCAAATAGAAAGGCTCCAGATGGAGTATCTTTGGTGCTCAACATTCTCTCGGGAATAGAGCGGTGTTGCCAGGAGCAATTGTGTCTCACTATCATGAAACTCTGAGTTAGATTAAAGGCCATTTTCTACAGCTCTTTGAAGAGGTTGAAGATTATCTATCTATACTGAGTATAATATCTATATATCTAAAGAACCTGATTAGTCTAATTATAAATGACAAACTTAGATGACTATTTATCTATATAATTCTCAATATCTATCTAACTTAAAGACTAAGACAATAAACAATTGTGTAACAAATGAGGATAATGACCTCCAAATATAAACACTGTACAAATATACATTACAATATGGTAAATATATATCAATACACAAATATTATATAAGTTTCTTAATCAGAGGTAGAAATGTATACTGCAATATGGTAAATATATACAATATATATTTATCAATACAATATATGTCAATAGATAAAAAATGTTTTAAACAGAGATAGAAACATGCATGCATACAATAGTAAATATAATTTAACTTTGTATCAATATACAAGAATCGATACCAATATATTTGTCTAAAAGCAGTAACTCACAATTATAAATCTATTATCCCATCATTCCCTCTTTTTTTTTTTCAAAATGATCCCTGAGCTTATAAAATTCCTCCCCCAACCTCCCAACCCCTAAATGATGTCCCTAAACCCAGGAGTAAATTTTACTGGGAGAGGGGACGTCGTCCTCTAGAATGACTCCCAGCTGTCATGGGGGTGACGTTCTTTCTGGGGGATCCTGTGAAAGTAAAATGATGGTTAAATTTCAAGATCAATGTCTTTTAAAATTGCAAATAGTCTCTGAGTATTTTGTGGAGGTCTGGCCAGAATGTTGTACAAGATGTGCACCATTTCAGCTAACCAAGTTGGGATTGTCTTGTGCAGCTGGTATCCAAAACAGGTCTTGTAGTAGCGCTATCAGTATCATGACGTCATATCAACCAGGTAGAGTTGTTGTTGTGGGGCCCCATCTTCTTCCTGGAAACTTCAAATGTCACTTCAGGAAAAACTCATTGTTCATTGAGAAAAACTTAAACATTAATCATATAGACATATATAGACATACATATATATATATATATATTCTATGAAAGGCATGATAGATATATTCAATGAAAAGTATGATAGATATGGAGAAAAGCAAAGATGTTTTCTAAACTCATATTTCTTTCTGTCCCATATCATGGCTCTTGACATGAGACAGAAACTCTGGGTTTTTCTCTTACTAACAGGCTTGGAATTGGTGAGGGACTGAGCCAGAGTCCAACTTCAAAACCAGCTCTATATATTTATAAAGAAATGTTTAATAAGACATATATATATATATATAAATTAATGTAACAGCGTAAATGAATGCAGACAGAGTGTAAAAATATATATATAGCTTTAATGTAGAAATAGACTTACAGAACCACCGTTCCCGCGGAGACCAGGAAAGCAGAAGCGAGAAGCTAGGAGCTTGCTCGCCAAATTTATAGGCAGACATTAGCCCAAGGCGAACACGCCCCTTAAGGGGCGGGACTTATCCCTACATCTCCCCTTTTTGTCTAAATAAGACAGAACTAAACCAAATACAACTACATACAATAACAACAAATAATAAATACAACAAACAATATTGAGAACAAAAGCTTTGCTAAACATTCTATCTCAAGAAGTCCAAATAATGTAAAGAGTAACTACAATTATATAATCTTCAACTCAGTCAAAGATCTGAGAAGGGAATAAACACTACTCAACAAACGAGATATATCCAAAATGTGCAACAATTGACAGAGACAACTGACTACCTGGGCAATCACCCAAAGTCTCGTTTGCAACGTTGAGTCAACCAATTTTGGCTAAGGCCTAACATAACTGACATACCATTATTAAAGGCAAGGAACTTTTCAAAACTATCTTACCCTGTCTTGGCAGGATATGACAGTCCTGTTTTACCCATTGATGCACGCTCTGTATCTGTGTCAGTGGTTGAGGTATGGGCATTTCTTTGCCCAAAGGCCAGTTCTGCCAAATAGAAAGGCTCCAGGTGGAGTGTTTTTGGTGCTCAACATTCTCTCGGGAATAGAGCGGTGTTGCCAGGAGCAATTGTGTCTCACTATCACGAAACTCTGAGTTAGATTAAAGGCCATTTTCTACAGCTCTTTGAAGAGGTTGAAGATTATCTATCTATACTGAGTATAATCTCTATATATCTAAAGAACCTGATTAGTCTAATTATAAATGACAAACTTAGATGACAATTAGTCTATATAATTCTCAACATCTATCTAACTTAAAGACTAAGACAATAAACGACTGTGAAACAAATGAGGACAATGACCTCCAAATATAAACAATGTACAAATATACATTGCAGTAGGTAAATATATATCAATACACAAATATTATA